CCCCCCCCTGCCCCCCCCTTTGACCCCCCTCTAACCTTTTCCTCAGAGGTGTGTCCATGTTAATGAAATGTAATGAAAATCCATGAAAGCCCAGCCAATGAATATTAAGAAGAGCATATTTTTGTTAAAGAGGAAAATTATATAATTTGGAGAAGGCGGCAGCTAATACGCCCCCGTTGTCTTTTAAATTGCCATATTTTGTCCATTTGCACAGCACTAATTCTTTAACTGCAGACTCAGATAGAAACATGGAACGTTTGTCTTCCACTCGTTCCAGGCACGTTTAATCGACAATAATACAGAGTTCCAAAACCTTCAGTTTCCTCCACACTGTCCATCTCGATGCCTCCACCCTGCGGTCGTGTTCACACCCTTGGCTGCAGAAACAGAGGTGGTGTCTGCTTACACTGGTCTCAAGGAAAGTGCTGATTTGTCCAAAAAGCAGAACACTCCCAAAACCAGTTTAATCTGAAGATGATCTTTACTTCATTAAGGTGAACCTTCAGAAATAGTTTTTTCTACTTCACTGACACTGAAATGTCTCGGGAGTTTTTCTTGAGAACCTCTGCCAACCTGCTGGCAGGCAGAAGTACTGCAGCCAAATATCATTTCCAGGTGGGCCTACCGAGGAGACTGAAGACTGTCTTTCATACGCAGTTTGGTTCTGGTTTATTGAGCTGATCTCAAACAGCCTGGAGCTCCTGAAAGTAAATGCTTCTCATATTCTCTCGCTGCTGAAAAGCCAATGAGGTGTTAACGCCAATTTGCTGCCCTCCCTCTTAAAAGTCCAGCTTGTTGTTGAAAAGTCAGTCGGTTGTGTTTGTTGCACTGAACACAGTTGACTTTCATATATTGCATCAATACAGCGAGGTAAATGCAATGCACTTGACTGCATCAGAAAACGCGACATTCTGCGTCTCATCCATTTCTCAAGGCCTTTTTTCGCTTCAAAAAAACAAAACGCACATACATACACACATACATACATACATACATACATACATACACACACACACAGTACGTACAGTGTGAGTAAGTATTTATATACACGCACAGACTTAGACGTTAAGTTATTGCTGTCCTTACCGTTTCTCCCAGATTGCCTTGTTCATTTCGCCAACCCGCCACCTTCTGGAACATTCTGCAAGACCCTGAACTGGCAGTTAGTCCTGGTAGATTCTCTGTACACGTAAAACTGGTCTATATGTCAAGGTCTGGAAAGTACATGAGCGGAAACGAGATTTGTGTCCAAGTTACCACTGGCTGCCTTCCACATTGGCAACTTTTTTACAACCTTCATCACCAGGGCATCGTCGGTCGACCTTTTAGCTAATGTAGCCGAGGCCCTGTTTCCACGGCACAGATAGCCTGAGTTTTTAGGGATATGGTTCAAACAAAATCTGCGTTTACACAGGGACGTAGAATATTGATTGGGTTGAAACGTGACAGAGAGGCGGGTCTGACCCGTATCGACCGTATCTAGGACCCATGTATATGGGGTCAATCAAAAACCAGGGCCTGAATCGGTGTCGTTGAGTTTCGCTTCAATTAGCCTGGTTCAAATTGGCTGAGTGTCCGAAACAGTTTGGTCATTTGAGGGCGATTGTTCTGAAACCTTATAAAAGTAGGCGACGTCAGTTGAAGTAAACTTGCTTTCAAGACTCAAGTCTGCTGAGAAAAAAAGGCAAAATAAAAGGCAACCATTGGGAGAGTTGGGGGTTTAAAACCAGTAGCAGAAACCAGTGACTGTAGATTTACTGTGTGAATGGTTTCACGGTCTTTTATTGGCTATTGGCGACTGTTGGTAGAAGAGGTTTTGGCTCTGTTTGGTTTTTGTTAGTACTGTAATTTGAACAGTCCACTACATTAAACACTGTACGGCACTGATTCTACTCTACCCCAAAATCTTTACATGGTAGAAGGCTGTTGTGACTCTAAAACGACCTTAGATTAAACTTCTATACCTCTTAAGTCGTAGTCATGGTGCTACCCGCTCGTTTCAAGACTTTCCCAGACCCCGGCTCTTACTCTGTTGTACTCGTACATGACATACTTTGGAATATCTTCCACATGTATTGCCTTATACCTATTTTGGTAAATCCACTTTTACTCTGACGTTTTTTGGCGATTTTACCTCATCTCGACTCCACTCCGACACAGAAAGACAATTCCGTACACCAGAGCTCTAGCATGCTAACTCAGCTAATCATAAACTGTAATAACCTGTGACCGTTTCTGTCTCCGAGCGCCGCGTTTCTCCACGTCTTACTGTCAAAGCTCTCTGGCGTTTTGTCCGGGTGGTTTGGGGGGGCTTTTGGTAGGAATGTAAGGTTTCTAAGAGTTAGCAACACTTCTTTTATCTTTTTTTTTTTTTTTTCAAATGTTTTACTCCGATGCAGGGGCAGCACAGCTCGATCTAGTGGCCTATCTATACTCCAACCAAATAGGGCTCCTGATTTTGCTCTTTTTTTTCCTCCTTGCGTTTTGTTATGCATTTATATGTGATGTAATTATATTAAATGCTTGATTTGTTTGGCACCAATTGGAACAAAGGAAGGATCCTTGTTTAAATGTGGATAATGATTCTTAATGAGTTTAAGATTGTGCTTCTTGATCTGTTTTTGTTTTGTTTTTCTTCTTCTTCGTACTGTGATAGATTTGATTTGAAATATGCATAATGACGTTATTGTGATGCTGTTTATTTGACATGTGTCGTTTTTTTCATAGTCCACTCTGGGCTGGATCAGAAGAACAACTCCTGGTTTGAATCCGTCAAGACTGCAACTGTGTCTGGTTTATATTAATGATGTACTTCTTTGTTCACAGTAAGGTGGAGAGAAAAGTGATGACGTTTGAAATGTATCCGAACTTCTGAAGCATGTTTTGGAAAACCTTATTGTACAGACGATGTATTCGGTGTCATGTTAACTGTTACTGTTTTCTTCTGTGTGTTTCTTGGACAAGGCTTTTGATTAAAAGCTCTAAAAAGCAGAAATCTTCTTGTTTTTTATATATATATAACGATCTCAATAGGTTACTTAATTATGTCACTATACGATTAGCTGTGTATCAGGTGTCAGTACCTCGGCATCAACCAATTGTACAGCGTTTCGTGGTTATGTCGTTATATCCGATATAACTATTAGGAAAGTTCCATCATCCTGATGTACGACGTTAAAAACATTTCGCACAGGAACTAGTTTGCGAGTCTAGTTATCACGCGACAGTATACGTGTACGACGGATTTGTTTACGATCGTCGGTTGTCCGCCATACGTTAGATTTTTCTACATTCACTGGCTTTCGTTTGTGTTGTTTTTTGGGGAACTTTGGGGACAGATACTGATGTACAGAATGTGAGTTCCGACAGGAACATTGAGAATAAAAAAAACAACAACGATGTGAATAGTTTAAACTTTGATAAAAAAAACAACAACGATGTGAATAGAACTTTATTCCTAAATATAATAATAAAATAAATCTGGAGCAGAATCTTAGGAACAGTTCTGCGTTTCCATCTTTATTCCTGTCAACTTCGCCCACTGATACGGGTTCAGTTTTGAGGTAAATCACGGTGTCACGGTGTTGTTTTCAGTTTTCCCACATGGAGACACTGTTGGTGCACACACCGCAGACTGGGGGGGGGGGGTATCGAGGGGAGTTGAGCGATATTCAGGTTATTACACCTGGTCTTTTATCTCTAAAGGCGTTTAGATGAGAAAAATTCTCAAAATTCTTCGGTGTTTTGTCAACTCACGCCCACCGCCCGGTGACTGATGGTACAGAACGACTCAGAGAAGTGGTACAATGGTCTGGTTTCACTCTCTGCCGCCGCCGTGTCCGTGTCTCTTCAGGGTTTATGAGCCAGATGGAACTCAAACAGAGTGTTGTGATACAACTGGCCTACTTTTGCACGAGTACTTGTGGGTGAGAGTGTGTGTGAGAGTGTGTGTATGAGTGCAGGCTACAGTCACCTCTCAGGATTAATCCACTGTCTGAGCCCCCGACGCTCTGACCGCGGTCTCACTGGTCTCAAACTCCGTTTTTTAGCCACAGCTTGTGGATATTGAACTGGAAAACAAATGTATATCGGTACTTTAAGTAGAACACAAAGTCAAACGACTTGGAGTGAGTAAAAATGATCCGGTTCATTACCAAAGAGTCAGCTTTACTGGTCATTACACATACACCTACAAAAATACACTGGAAAATGCGTCCTTGGCATTTTACCAATCACTAGGGGGCGGTACGTGACATCAGCAGGATCCCACAAAAAGCCTCACAGACTGTTGTATACTTTGGCTTTTATCAGGCAACATTATGAGGATGTGTAACTTTCTGGCGTGAGGTCCGCAACCCGAGGTGGTCAGAGGATTGTCGGTTTGAATCCCGGCCTTGACAGAGCTGTAGTGTGTTGAGCAAAGACCACCCCCTCCCCTGCTGCCCTCACTCAGTAACATATTGTGTTTCTGCTCTTCTGCCAACGCTAGGTCACAACACATCCTTCATTTATCCCTCAGTGTGAGTTACAGCTTCTCCTGGACTGTTGGAAAGACTGTGATAAAAACCTGCAGTCATTTTGAGTCCAGGCTGATAAATAAAGACTTCGACTCTGCTGTCACCACAGGATTGACTTTTCTGAGGTCTATATTAAATATGTAGGATATAAATCCTAACCACACTCCAGTGTGCCACACATGTACCCGACTAAGTGGTTGATGAGAACCATGGTAACACAGTAGTCATTTCAGAGATGATGTACTGCAGACCTCGATCACTTCAGGTGGCGTCACCTTTACTGTATATCCCCCTGATCCAGACCAGATCAGACCAGATTAGTCTCCAGGGATCAATAGACAATGAGGTATTTCTTTTTTACCAAAAGTACTGATACTCTCCAGATTATTTTCTTCTGAAATTTTCAGGAGCAAAGTTCATATTTTCAGTGGCAACTGAAAGTCTGAAGTCCACACAGACAAACTGACCTACGAAAAATACAAAAAATACAAGTCTCCTTGGTGATGGTTTTTGCTGCACTCTAAGCTGAGGTCCAGACTAAGGGGCATGTGGGTACTTAAGAAGAGCCAGAGTTAAGAGCAAACTTTCCAGCCTTCCTCCTTCTGATGGAATAATTTTAGTATTTGCCGAACCAACCCAGAGAGGACTTCGGTGTCAGGGTCAGATCACAGACCGACTGTTGTCGGCTTGAGTTGGCAATGCCTCATGGGTACAAAACATCCCTGCTTTCTTCTTCTCCAACTCAGTGCACGAACTCTAATATAAAGGGCCCAGAGCTGAGTCTCCCTTTAACTTTACAACAACTTTAGTGTCCTCTCACCGAAGCTGACTTACTGAAAGATAAATTCAGTGGCTGAAATGAACATTTTAGTGAGTCTTTCTGGGTCTGTGTGAGTATTATTTATCGGCATTTAAAACATTTAAAGTGATTTCTTTTTAGTTCATGTATTTATTAATGACAGGTATCATAAATCTATACATCTTTAGCCTGGTAGTATTTATTTGTTTATCTGTGTAAACCACTGTACGGTGTTGCTGAGACCAGCATTCGGCATACAATCTCCTGATTATTAAAATAGATTAATAAAATGACCTGCAATGCTGCCATCTAGTGACTTTCACTTGAATATACAACCGTTTATCCCCAAAAAACAATTTTTAGAACACACATCATTTGGCGAAACCCAGGTATTGGGTCTTCATTATCGGAGGAAAAAAAAACAATATTGATTTCTAGGGATGTTACATAATATGCTAATATCGGGCCGATAATATCGCTCGGCTGGACTCTAATCTCATCATCCGGTGAATGGATATTTGAACCTGGCACCAGAGTACTGCGATGCTGCCTGGAAGTCAGAGGTATGGACTGAGAAGCCAAGGGTTGTGGAGTGTAGGGGGGGGGTCCAACAGCTGAGAGAAGCTGCCAAATGAAGGGCTCAACTCCGGAGTGGAGAAGTTGGCAGGAGAGACAGGGAAAAGCCTTTCACTGTCTTCAGCTCCGGAGACAAAAACAAGGCCAGGGGCGTGACCTCGGTGGTGAGGTGAGGTGACGTCTCCGCTGCTGTGTCTCTGGGACATCACAAGACATTTTTAGGAGTTGGATTATATTATATTAAATTATATTAGATCAGATAAATAAAGGACAAAAACTGTTGGGTGGCACAGTGGAAGACTGGTTGGCGCCCTTGCCTTACAGTAAGGGGGTCAGGGGTTCAATCCCTGGTGGAAACTGATATTGGAACTGGGTTTTTCTGTGTATAGTTTACAGCTTCCTACCGACCTCTGGGGTGTGAAACCACAGATTGAGCCACAGAGCTGAACTCTTTGTCTCTGTGCGGTCTGTTGATGATGATGATGATGATGATGATGATGATGATGATGATGATGATGATGAAGCCACTGCTTCATGATGCGGCGACGCGAGGATTCAGCTCCTTGCAACGTGAGCAACACAAGTTCCAAATACACACACACACACACACACGTGCACGCGCCTCCCCGCCTGACGCATGACCACGACCTCACTTTCTCTCTCCCTCTCTGGTTCACTCGCTCCTCCCCCTCTCCAGTGGTGCCCATGGAAACGTGCGGATGAGAGCAGCTTGGCAACGGCGGCTCTGAGTGAGGAGCAGCTCGGAGGGTCAGACTGAACCGTGCCGTCACTGCTACACCTGGAAAAACATCCTCTCCGCGTGAGTACCGCAGCTCAGCATCTTTGAATCCGGCCGTGGTGACCCGGACTCGGGCTCGGCTCTGGTCCCGGTCCTCACTGCAGGATAAATGTTAACAAACTAAAGATTGTACTGATGTTTGTGGGACAACAAACAACAAAACAACATCGGTAAAACTGACCAGTGACGTTTGTTTTCCACCACATGTC